CGTCGGCAGCTAACTCTGGTACACTCAATGAAGATCTCAGCCCTGTGGCTACAGCAGGAGATGCGGAGACTAGGCGGAGACAGCAGCCGGGGCCCAGCCCCAGGTGCCGGGGATCCCGGTGGAGCGCCGGCCGGGGTAGCCCAGGCCGCAGGGCAGGGGGCTAGGCGAGCGGGGGCTGCGGCGAGCTCGAGCGCGCGGCTCCCGCTCCAGGGGCCGTGGCTTTGCCTGTGTGGACGGGGTCTACAAGGGTCTGCCTCATTCTGCAGCAATGTAGAAGTCAGCTGGGTCTCAGGACCCCCGGGGAACCGGTTCGGGATGGAGAGGTGAATTGGGGGCCGGAGGGGCACGGTGTGGAGACACTGAGCCGCCCCCCTAAACAGAGATACTCAGGATACGTCAATGTGGCGTCCAGCAGCAGTGCGAAGGACAGGGGACCAGCGAATCCACCGTGGTCCCAGCCCCACCCCGCGTTCAAATAAAGCCCAGGCAGAGACCAGGCAGCCAAAGTGGCTCCCAGAGTCTTTTGGCTTTGGCCCCGCCCACGCGCCCACCCATTAGCTCCGCCCACCAGGCCCACCCATTAGCTCCGCCCAGTCCCAGCATGGCCCCGCCCTTCGCACTAGCCACGCCCCCGCTTGGGCACTGACGGGACCCCTTGTGCCCTCACCTGCCCAGCAGCGGCACGCTCAGAGACGTCTCTGGGATTTTCTGGGCAATTAGGAACAAGAAGACGGTCTGGGCGAGCAGGACGTTGATGGAGACGGTGCATTTCTGGCCGCCAGCTGGAGGGAGCGCCCAGTGAGAGCAGCTGCCCTCCCATCCCCGGAACGAGCCCCTCTTTAGGGTTCGGGCGACTCCTTACCCTGCGACGGCAGGAAGTAGGCGAGCAGCACCAGGCCTGAGATGAGCACGCAGGGCACGATGATGTTAATGATGTAGAAGAGCGGCTTTCGGCGAATGATGAGCGTGTAGATGACGTCAATTTCCCCGGGGCCATCAGCGGAGGCCGCGTCCTGGCGGCGGATCACCCCGGGGCAGAAGTCGATGGCCCACTCGCCGTTCTCTGCGGGACGGGTGACGCGGTCAGCCTGCTCTCGGGTGGGGCGCCCTGCTCTAAGCCGCACCCCTGAGCGTGGGGACCCATAACTCCGGGCGGCGGAGAGTCTGCAGTGTCTGGACCGGGGTGGGCGGGGCAGGTGGACGGGGCTACTTGGGCCACGGGCCGTCCGCACGAGGGCAATTCGGGCAGAAAGGGCTGTTTCCGGTGGGGTACTGAACGACCGCGAGGAAGCAGGGCTGGTCCGACCATCGAGAATAATTTCAGGAAAAGGGCGAATTAAAGCGCGGTTGCCAAAGCCCATCCCTGGGATTGATGGTCTGGGTCCGCCCCCTTTGCAAGCCCCTTCTCTGGGACCCCGTCTAGAAGCGGGTTTCAGGAGCAGGAGGGGACCTCACCAGTATAGGCCTCAGTGTCGATATCGATCTTGCTGATGGTCTTGCCGTCGTCGTCGACCACAAAGACGAACTCCACTTCTTGGGCATTGTACGTCTGAGAGCTGCGGAGCCAGGGCGGGGGGCCCCCACCCCAGAAACTCGGACTCAGGCCCTAGCCTCAGTCCCTGTCCTGGAAGCTGGGATCTGGCNTGGTAGAGGGCAGCTGCGGGAAGGGTGGGAGCAGCCCCAGGGTGGGTCATGCGGAGCCTCCCCCAGTGCAAGCGCCCCCGAAGGCCCACGCGGGCCGCTCTGCTCACCGGTCCAGGCGCCGTGCCGGTACCTCTGCCCCTCAAACACGAGCTCACTCCGCGGCTTTTTCAGTATCAGCTCCTCAGCGCGGAGCAATATGCCCACAGAGGATGCCCGCCTCGGGGGTGAGGCGGCCCCGGGGGCCTCCGGGGGCTCCCCGGAGCCCAGGAGGCGCGGCAGCAGCTCTAACAAGACCTAGGGGTGGGGCGGGGCGGCGATCAGCTTCAAGTCCTGCCTCCCGCCCGCCGCCGCCCAACCAGCAGTTGCAGCGCTTACGTGGCGCAGCCGCGGGGACATGGCGTGAGTGGTGGGTGTCCGCAAAGACACGTTGAGCACGATGACGCAGTTCATAACAATGAGCGTGGCAACCACCATGACGAAAATGAGGTACCTGAGGGGCTCGGAGTGAGCGACATTACAGCCTCCCCGAGTCCCCAGAATCGCAGGGGGAGCCGCTGATCCTTTGACCTCACAAACACGCCTCTCCACCGAGGTGGAGTGAGGCTCCTCTGCGGGGCCACATGCGTCCCCAGGCCCTTCTCTCTCTCCTACCGCCCATGGCAGCCATGAAGGAGACCCCCCCCCAGCTCCCTGGAAACCCTGCTGTGGGTCTACCACTCCCACAGTTCCACGGAGGTGAGGTGATGCCAGTGGCCCGGCCAAGGGTGGCACCTCGAGACCTCTCTGGGAAGGTCTCCAGCGTCCCCCACCGCGACCTCTGCCCTATGACCCGATGGCTCCATCGCCAATGCTCCTTCTCCAGGTGGCCCCCCAGCCTCCTCTTCTGCCTCCCCTGGAGCTCATTGTGGCCGCAGCCCATGAGTATCTGGAGCAGAGGTTCAGAGAGCTGAAGGCCCTGGAGCCGCGGGAGCTGAACCAACTGCCGGTCCCGAAGCCCACCCTGGGGCTGGTGCTAAGAGAAGCCGAGGCCCAGCGTCGTGAACTTCGGCGCCACCTTGTTAGAGGTGGGGCGCTGGGAGGGGGGGCTGAGGAGGGGCGGGGAAGGGCGATAGAGGCCTCTGCGTCGGCAGCTAAC